GACGACCTCACTCCAATAACCATGCTTGGACCGGAGACTTTCGCCGCAAGACGCGCTTTGAACTTCGCCTCACCTTCGACTTCGGAGCATGAGACAATGCAGGCGATCATGGAACAGGCAAAGCAAAATGAACAGAGGTTGGAGAACATGATCTCTAAGAACGAACGTCTCCGTCAAGATCTGGCCTTGGAGGTGGCGAAGTCCAAACAAGCTGTACGCCTAGATCCCGAGCGACCTCCGAGGGCAGGTGGTTGACGGCCCCGAGCCTGACAAGACTACACTGAAAGTGACTCTGACTCATTATCCCCGGAGCCTAAGAAGAAGGGGTGACCTGAAACTACCAGTTCCTCTGAAGAAAGTCCCCGTATAAGGCATAAGCGAAGAAGAAACAGTTCAGATAAAGAATATCAGCACGATCCCTTTGTATGACGGATTACAAAGGCGATGCTTCCCAAGAAATTCAAAGCACCGTCATTCACCTTGAACGACGGTAAATCAGACCCCACCGATCACATTCGTCATTATAAGCAAGCCATGACGCTGCATGTAGACGATGAGGCTCTCATGTGCAGAATATTTCTGAGCAATTTGGGACCACTAGCTGTCAGGTGGTATTATAAACTGGAGCCGGCCTCGATTAAAAGCTTCCACCAACTCCAAAAATTCTTCAGGGCGAGATTTATCACTAATGACGTCCATCCAAAGTAAGCCGATTCTCTCTGGGCAATGCAGATTCAACCGGGGGAAACCCTTCGCACGTATTCGGCGTGGTACTGGGAATGTTTTAATCTGGTAGACGATGCTTGCAATGACTCCATGGCCATCACCGCCTTCAAGATGGGGCTACATCCCGACAGTGCCCTCCGCAGCTCTTTGACCAGACGGCCCCCTAAAACAGTTTGGTCGTTGAGGAAGAAAGTTGAAGAATATTGTAAGGTGAAAGATGATGCCTTGCGGGTTAAAGCCGGAAATTTGCCCAACAAGGCGGCTCCTACCAAAATTGCTCAGCCATTAAACTCTATAGCACCTCAGAGCCCTGAACCACGGCATTAGGCAAAACGAGATAAGAGACGAGATTCTCGCCGAGCAAGCGACCACTGCTCCCACCGAGAAAATGAATAACTACAAGTTGACAGCAGGCGCACGAGGCGCGCCGACAAGAAATATACGGAGTTGACAGAGCTGATCAGTGTGGTTATGTCCAAAACCCAACACCTCCCATTCTTCAAGTGGCCGTCAAAAATGGTTGGACCTCCTGACACGAGAAGACGGGATAGACGGTGTGAGTATCATAAGAGAAAAAGGTCTTGTAATGCTTGTGTAGAAATTATGTATTTATTGGCTGATTTATCACTAATTTTCAAGTGGCCATCAATTCTCGGTCGCCAACGCTCTTGATCATACATGATAGAGTTCTAGGCTTTATGTGTTTATGTGTGTATTCATTTACATTGAATTGTGCAATTTGGCTTCTCGGCCATCATGCATCGAGATGCGTGATTGGTGGCCCGAGGGTCGAGAACCGCACTCCCTTGAGCTTATGAAATGATAGGGAGGATGGTTGTGCACACATATCATGTAAATACATTGCCATGCCCTTTCTCGCTCTCTGTTGCAGTGAATTGGAGAAGTGCAGCAAAAACTGGCCGGCCAGCCAAAAAAACTAGCTGGCCGACCACTTTTTCTGGTCTGCAGCAACAAAAGTGGTCAGCCAGTGGCTGGAAACACCCCTAGGTGGTCGGCAGCCCTCCCACAGGTTCCTAAGGTGAGTTAGAAGCTTTCTGGAGCTTGGTGCAAGGTTCTAAGAACAATTGTAAACAGAGGCAAGTTGGGGCATCGCGACGAATTTCCGAACGAAGCGACCAGACATGCATACTCTTCTCTCTCTGAGGACATTACTTTACTGCTTTCCTTAACTAGTTTATGCTTTGGTTCTATACCTAAGTAGTTATTGTGTTTAGCTGCTTATTTGTGTTGTAATAATTAGTTGTAGCTAGTTATTCAATTTTGTGATGTAATAGGCAGTTTAATTAGCTTATATTAGCTAGTTAGCTTCTTATTCGGACCCTCCGTCGAGAGGGCCAACTGTTGTAATAAGCGTGCATGTGTGTGATGCATGTCTTCCAACCCCCATTTCTTTCTCCCTTTTACTTAACCACTTACGATGGTTAGTTTTAGGGCATATTTTGATTAGCATACCTTATGTTTCACATACGTGCATCATTCATCTTTTTTCATGCACCGGGCTCGGCGCATCATACAAACTGCATTGTATTTCAATTCCAATTTGAATACATGTACCAAGTTACATTTTATATGACATGATTAGAATAGTCGAGCCCATTTTAGTTACATTCTCGCATGCGTTGCATTAGCCATCTTAACATGAACTAGGATCATGCATGATTTCTAACTAGTTCTTTGTTTTGGCTCGGAGTACACTGTGAGTGTTTATGCTTTAGCATACTATATGAGATGTGTATGTTGCCATGAAAGCATGCTTGCCATAAGGCCAACTGCTTAAGTGTTTAACTGCCTGAATGCCTGTGGGTGAAGGTTGGATTGCTTGAATTGGAACAATTCATCAAAATCCTCGTCTTTGCCTACTTGCGAGTAGCAAACTTTAAACCGTTTTCAAACAATCGAATATGCAATGTTTTGTTCCAACTTAGGCGATCTAGTCTATACTTGTATGTTGTGCGCATCACATAGTAATTCTAGGTTAATAACCGGAATAAGAACGCATGTATTTTCAAAAACAAAATATCATGTTAGTAAAGGCCGATCTTTGATCGGGCGAGCGGGGGTGCTCATTGCATGACCTTCCCCTCTCGTACCCAAGTTCCCGAGCTGAGGCAACTTTGGTGATGACGAAGACGTCGCCTTAGGCACGAGTCAGGGTTTCCTAAATTTCCCCAAAATAAAACATTTAGGTGGCGACTCTGTATCTGGCAAAATAGTCCATATTTGGCACTTCTTTATAAAAATCAGTTTTCCAAAAAAGAACACATGTGTTTTCAAAAACAAAATATCATGTTAGTAAAGGCCGATCTTTGATCGGGCGAGCGGGGGTGCTCATTGCATGACCTTCCCCTCTCGTACCCAAGTTCCCGAGCTAAGGCAACTTTGGTGATGACGAAGACGTCGCCTTAGGCACGAGTCAGGGTTTCCTAAATTTCCCTGAAATAAAACATTTAGGTGGCGACTCTGTATCTAGCAAAGCAGTTCATATTTGGCACTTCTTTATAATAATCAGTTTTCCAAAACGATTTGCCAGATTTGGACTCTTTGGTGATTTATTGGTCTCACATTGCACTTTGTGAGATTAGATTCAGAACCGTGACACAAGTCTGAACTTGTAGTAGCTAGAAGAAGAAAACGGATTTCGCGTCGTCACGCGCGGAGCCGGGGAGTTCTCCGGGGCGGTCTACTGCTACCGTCCTAGTTATCGTCATACTGGGTTGTTATAGATTGCTACCGTCAGAGGTTTATTGTATGTACCTTGAGCGGTGATTGTTTTTATTTCTTGGGGGACTGGGTGGATAGAGTCTTACCACCGGTATATGATCCGCGTGGGTGGAGTGAACTTAGTTGTCTTCTGGCTAGCTTTTTGAGTAGTGAGTGTGATGACACCCGAGTTGAGCTGCCAAGAGTGGTCTGTGAGTACTCGGATGTCTTTTCCAAGGATCTTACTAGTTTACCACATCACTGAGAGATCGAGTTCTCTATTAATCTAGTGCTTGGCACGGCACCGATTTCTATGGCACCGTATCGGTTTGTGCTAGCTGAGTTGAGTGAGTTGAATATTCAACTCCAAGAACTATTAGATAAGGGTTTTATTGGCCCTAGTACTTCGCCTTGGGGAGCATCGACTCTCTTTGCTAAAAAGAAAGGTGGTGCCTTGCGACTTTGTGTTGATTATTGGAAGTTAAACTGGGTAACTGTTAAGAACAAGTATCAAATACCACATATAGATGACCAGTTTGATCAGTTGAAAGGTTTTTGTTGTTTTACTAACATAGACCTGAGATCGGGTTATCATTAGTTGAGGGTAAGGGAGAAGGATATCCTGAAGATGGTATTCTGTGCGCGGTATGGCCATTATGAGTTTCTAGTGATGACTTTTGGGCTAACTAATGCACCGGCCGTATTTATGGATTTGATGAATCGGATCTTCCGTGAGTTCCTGGATTGTTTCGTAGTCGTCTTTGTGGACAACATCTTGATTTACTCACCCTCTGAGGAGGAACACGAGGGACATTTGCAACTAGTGCTTCAGTTACTTAGAGCCCATAAGCTATATGCTAAATTTGGGATGTGTGAATTATGGCTGAAAGAGGTCAAGTTCTTAGGGCATGTGGTATCCAGGAAAGGGGGTGACTATAGATTCATCCAAGATAGAGGCAGTGCAAGATTGGGCACAACCTAAGAACGCTTTCGAAATCCGTAGTTTCTTGGGGTTGGCCGGGTATTACCGTCGATTTGTAAAGGATTTTTCTAGACTGGCTTCACCATTAACTAAATTAACGAGGAAAGGGATCAAATTTGTATGGAGTGAGACTTGTGAGAAGTCATTCCAAGGACTTAAGGTTAGACTCACCACTGCTCCAGTCTTGATTATTTCGGAGAGGGGTTTGGGCCATTCAATATACTGCGATGCTTCAAGAGAAGGTTTAGGTTGTGTCTTGATGCAAGAGGGGAAGGTAGTAACCTATGAGTCATGGCAGTTGAAAACTCATGAGAGGAATTATCCTACCCATGACCTAGAGTTAGCAACGGTGATATTTGCCTTGAAGATTTAGAGGTATTACCTATATGGGGAGAGATTTGAGGTGTTTTCTGATTAGAAAAGTTTGAAATGTCTGTTTACACAGAAGGACTTGAACTTTAGACAGAGAATGTGGATGGAGATCATAGAGGATTATGATTTTGAGTTGCATTATCATCTGCGAAAGGCCAATGTTGTGGCCGACGCCTTGAGTAGGAAGTCTATTAGCACTATGGCTTGTATCGCCATCCGAGAGTGGGAGATGTTGGGCACTCTTGGAGAGTTTGACTTGCACTTGGGCGAGTTTGTTGAGTCTGCAGCCTTGTTTGCGATAGTTGCCCAGCCTACACTTGTGAACCGAGTAATGGAGACACAGAAGCGTGATCTTGAGGTAGAATCCCTCCGGGAGAAGATCTTCAATGGAAAAGTAAAGAAGGGCTTGACTGTGTATCCCGACCAGAGCGTGAGGTACCGTGATCACTTGTTTGTGCCGGAGTCTTGCCGGAGGAAGTACTCTGAGAATTTCACCATTCACGCCTTGCGGTGCATCCGGGGGGCACAAAGATGTATTATGATCTTAGTCACCATTTTTGCTGGAGAGGTAAGAAGAAGGATGTAGTCGTGTTTGTATCGAAGTGCCTCACTTGTTAGCAATTGAAAGCCGAGCATCAGAGGCCAGTGGGTTTGCTGCAACCCTTGCCTATAGCTGAGTGGAAAAGGAAGCATGTCACAATGGATTTTGTTATGGGCCTTCTGAGGACTCAACGGGGTAATAATGCCTTTTGGGTGGTAGTTGATCGATCAACCAAGTCAGTGCATTTATTACCTATGCGCGTGAGTGATTTGGTAGACTATCTTGCCGACTTGTATATCAGGGACATAGTGAGGTTGCACGGGGTCCCTGTGACGATTGTCTCGGATAGAGATTCGCGTTTTATAGCTCGGTTATGGCAGAGCTTACAGAGTGCCTTGGGCACTAAATTGACCTTTAGTACAACGTATCATCCTCAAGCTAACAGGCAGTCTGAGCGTACCATTCAGATCTTTAAGGATATGCTTCGAGGCTATGTTCTTGATTTTAAGGGGTCGTGGGAGAGGCACCTGCCCTTAGTGAAGTTTGCTTATAACAATAGCTTCCAATCGAATATTGGCATGGCACCATTTGAGGCCTTATATGGCCGACCGTGTAGATCTCCTATGTGTTGGGCCGAGGTGGGTGATGCACCTTTGTTGGGCTCAGAGTTGGTTCAGGAAACGACAGAGAAAGTTGCACTTATCCGTAAGAGGTTGGTTATAGCCTAGAGTCGCCAGAAAAGTTACGTTGACCGTAGAAAAAGACCTTTGTCTTTTGAGGTGGGTGATCATGTCTTTTTGGAAATATCACCTTGACGGGGTTTGATGAGATTTGTGAGGAGTAAGAAGTTATCCCCTCGATTTATTGGCCCTTTTGAGATCCTTAAGCGAATTGGGGAGATTGCCTACCATTTGGCATTGTCGCCACAACTTTTCGGAGTGCATGACGTGTTTCATATTAGTATGCTTCAGAAGTATAAGCTGGATCCATCACATCTATTGGATTAGGCCGACTTAGAGGTAGATGAGGATGTCTTGTATGAGGAGAGACCGATAAGAGTCTTGGACAGACAGGACCAAGTCTTGTGAGGCAAGACAATTCCTTTGGTCAAAGTATTGTGGAAACATCATGGGGTTGAGGAAGCAACTTGAGAGCGTGAATTGGAAGTCCGTGAGAAATATCCGGACTTATTTGTTGATGTTTGAGTATGTGTTGAGATTTTAGTTTTGTTCATGAACTGTAAGAACATTGTATATGTTTTGAATTACAAGAACATTGTACATGTTGACTGTGTTTCGGGAACGCAAGCCTAATATGAACATTGTATATGTTGTTTAAGTTTTGGGAATGCAAATTTATTACAAACATTGAAAATGTTTTGGAAATATGAGTTATACATATTGAAATTGATTAAAACTATAGGAGATGCATGTTGGTGGTATATGTTGATTTATATATATATATATATATTGTGGATTTGTTCATCATGTGAAGAGATTGAATGACTAGTAGGCAGGTCATGGTGTTGAGAATTGATTTATAATCATTTTGGAATTGGCTAAACATGGTTTTGAAACATGATTTATAATTTTGGAGACGAAATTCTTTAAGGAGTGAAGGTTATAGCGATCTCGATATTAACCTAACTATTGTTGCATCGCGGACTCGGGTTTCATGATTTAATATTATTATCCATGTCTTTCCTTCCTTCCATTCTTTGAGTTTGAGTATTGGGATGTCTTGGGTGTGTTTGGAACAGGTTGGTTGCTAGTTGGTCTAGAATGTTGTTGCTCAGATTTTGGTTTCTTCGCTCGAGCGAGCTTTGTGATCTCCCAGCATTTGTTCTGTCCTGCAGAGTTCCTGGGAGGGTGTTGATGTTCGCTCGAGGAAGGACTCTCGAGCAAGGACTCTTGCGCTTGAGCGACGGTTTTCTGTCCGTAAAATTTCTAGGACTTTGTAATATGTGCTTAAGCGTCGCTTCTTGCGCTCGAGTGAGGATACTTACTGTGTCTAGTCGCTCGAGTGACAACTTCTTCACTCGAGCGAGCATTGCATATATCAGTTCGCAGTAGCTCATTTTCACGTCACTTTTTGTTATCTTTTCACTCAAAAACCTTAAATCGGCTCCTCCTCTCTCTAAAATACTCTCTCTCTCTCTCTACAAATACACCTAGATCTAAGGATCTCTCTACCATACTGTCACGACCCAAACTTGCCCCTATAGGTTTAGTATTGCAACCGGCCAGTAATCCTTGGATTACCAAAGGCCTCATGACAGATTAACATATAAATAGGGGTTGCGGAAGCAAATATACAAAATAGACAAGGTCCAATGAGCTGTGATAACATACAAGAGACAGTAAAGCTTGAAACTTTCATAAAATGCAAGCGAAGTCAACACACATGATATATATACAGCACGCTTAGGCGTTCAGGACAAAAATCTCGCCTACAACTTAACAACAACATAGTCTAATACAGATTACAAAAACATCCACAAGACCGAACTTCATCAGGAACCTCCTTAGGAGGCGCGAGGGTTGGCTGACAAAATAGAATGAAGACCGTCAACTCTGGCCCTGATCACGTGCCGGCTCACCTACATACATAATATAAACAGTGAGCGGAAGCCCAGTGAATAATAACGGAGTAAAGGGTTTTAATGAATGAGTCTGTACAGATTCAAAAATCATATTTCAGTTTCATATCAAATTCATAATCTTGTCCTGATCATATACAGAAATCATAAGTCATGCTTAAGCATACGTGGTACATCTATTAGCGTTAACAGAGCAGATACAGAACAGATGCAGACACATGGTGGTTATGAATAACCAGTTCCATAAAGGAACCTCTGGATCCGGCTAACAGAGAATAAACATGCTGAGCTCCATGATGGAGCCTCCAGTACAGGTAGCAGATGATAGACATAATAAGTCCCATAACGAAACCTCCGATAATGGGTAACAGCCAACAGATACATGATGCTAAGGATGCCACGAATACATGTCAGAAATTGGACAATCATTCAGTGTACAGAACATAGCATTTCAGAAAACATATCTTAATTCATCATACAAAAAGTAAATGAAGTTGAACATAGCTTTACTAAGTTATTACTCACAGTTGGCTTCGTGGCAGACAGACGGAGCAGACTAGTCAAACGGTAAACGACACGTGACCTACATGACACATAACAGATACACACCTGAAACACACATTCGAATTGTACATAACTTATTTCGTTTGTTCTTAGTGCGTTCTAGCCTTTAATCCTCATTATGGAGTCTTAAACATGGCCTAGGAATGCCTAGGATGGAATGAGAATGAAAAAATGTATTGGAAAACATTTTTCAAAACTTGCTGAAAATAAGGTCCACGCTCGAGCGTGGCTTTCTTCGCTCGAGCAGACATGCAGACAATGAAGCTCTGCTCAAGCGTGACTTTCCCCGCTCGAGCGGACTGCAAACTTTTGAAAAAGTACTGGTTGTATGTTTTTCACGCTCGACGAACGCTCGATCCCCGCTCGAGCGTGAGACTCAGACCCTCGCTCGAGCGCGGATTCCCTCGCTTGAGCGGACTACAAAACACATAAATTTCTGGGTATATGCATTTCATGCTCGAGCGTGACCCTCGATGCTCGAGCGGAAGTGCATGTACTTAGAGTGCATGCTCGAGCGTGAAGTTCCTCGCTCGAGCGTGGATCGAATTTCTGGAATTTTCAGATTTGATCACCAAGCTCAAAATCAACCTTTGAAGCATCAAATCTCATTTTCTGGGCCCAAAACTTTGGAAAACGCTTAGAAACTCATAAAACAACATGTTTAAAGCATTCTTTCAAGAAATCGTGGCCCAAAAGCATTCCAATTGTGAAAAATTCAACTTGAAGCTCAAGATTAACTCATGAACATAACATGCATGAACTTTCCTTGAATTCCACTATTCCAAAGCATGATCAAACTTGATGAATTGGTGGAAAACATGGTGAATCCTCAAAATGAAGCTGAGATGAGCACATGCATGAAAGAAATCTTTGAAATTATGCTCAATTTGTGAGAAAATGTACATGCATGCATGGTATGGCCCAATTCTAGTACAATTCCTATATGAATTCACTTAGTTCACTAATAATCTTGTTGAATCCAACTCAATTACTCAATGAGGAGCTTAGTCTCTTACCTAGAGGCTTCAATCTACAAAAATTAGGGTTGAGGCTCTACAAATCTTCTTCAGTTATCACAATTCGTAGCACCTCCTTGAGTTTTAGCTCAATCTCCAAGTCTTGAACCAATTCCTCTACTCTCACTCACTCTCACATTTTTGGGTCTTGTGGCTCAAAGATGTTTGAACTCAATATGTGTTGAAGTGGAAGAAAAGAGTGAGTGGGAATACAAGTGGTCAATGAGGCCACTAAGGCCTTAATTAGGCTTAAACAAAATTGAAGTTAACTAGGGCCAAAATAAATGAATCTAATTTAATCGCTCCAAATCAACATTTAATTAAACTTACCATAAAATCCTATAAATCCTAATCAGCATATAAATCAAGTCAATCTCGTAATTGGATGCCGATAAGGCCTTCAATTCGCAAACCGAAGTTCAAGCAAGAACAGATCTTCTTACACCCAACAGATATAGACGCACCCAATGTAACACACATGCAGTTTAATTTAGAATTTCACTTTAATTACTAATTAGGCATAATTAATCATAGATTAACATTAATCAGAGTTCGGGGTTGTTACACCTGCTCCCTTTGATAAAAAGGTGGAGCATCCCGTAGGCTTCCATTTGATCCGAAAAAAGTTGAGTTTAGGCGTCTTTGAGGTTTCTCCACTTCTTCTTTGGGCTTCTACACTTGAGGTAGGGATATTCTACACTTTGTTATGATCTTTAATCTTGCTATTTGTTATTATGTTTAAATGGTGAGATTTGGGAGTAATTGGGGTAAACTTAGGGTTTGGATTCAAATTAAAAAGAGGGGTTTCCATGTTCGGTTACATAACTGAATATGGGGTTTTGAATATGAAGTTCTCTTGTGTTAGAATGGTGGAATTTAGCTTTTGGATTGATAATTGAAAAAGGGGGAAATTTTCCCTAACATGTGTTAAATAATTATTTTGTATAAATAATGGAATTGGTATGAGATATGTGAAATTGAAAGGATGTATGAATGAATGGTGTAGTTTGATTTGTTTAACCACTCACCTATGAAAATTTGATGAATTATCTGTTATAAAGATTGTATATCTGTTTACAAATAACTGTATTGGGCTTTCAGTGGAGGATAGCTATGATTGTTGTAGAAATTGCATGAGGATTAGGTGAATTAAAACTAATCATTTAAATTGTGTCATTGAATATGACGGTATGATAAGGCATTGAGTATGTATAGTTGATAGTCATTGAATATGACGATTCTTTTAAATACATTATATATGTATAATGTATTGAGAGGAGAAAGAGGATGGACTCCATGTTTGGGAGAAGATAGGGAATGGACTCCATTGAAATTAAGTTGGCCAGAGTGTCCAAGGTGAAAGTCCCGAAATCTTATGTATACATAGGTGCCGATCCCGCAAACGAAATTTCCGTAAAATAGCAAGGTTGACGTGCTTGTATGATAATTATGTTGATTGAGAACCCTTGAGTTGTAGTCTCAGTCAGGTTATTTGTAAAATTATACATTTGTCAAATGACTTGAAATGAATTGAATTAACTTGAAATGAATCGATGGAAATGGATTGAGAAGTGAGTATCAGTATTGAATGGTCATGGAAAGAATGTGAGTTGGTCATAAATATTGAACATTTACCTGACACTAATATCTTAGTTAAATCTCATATATTATGTTAGATTGTTTCTACTGGGTTTTGGCTCACCCTACTTTGGAAACCATTTTCAGGTACCAGTGACATGCTTCCTCTAAGGATGTAGCTTTGGAGGACTTAGGAGCTGGAGGCTCTATTTTGTTATTTTGTGTTTAAATGTTCATTCAAGCCAAGGGCTTTATACATGTACAGAGCTTATGACTCTCTTTTGTTGTAACTAAGCAATGTCTTGGAAAGATGTAAGCCCGTAGGGCATTTCTTTTGTTGTTGTCAGTTGGTATTACATGCTATAGATTTAGGATGAAGTTTATGAATATATATTGCATGTATTATCTTTTGTAACACGAACTCTGATGAATGAAAGTACATCATTTCAATTATGTTCATTTCTGTTATGAGTTAGATTATTTGTATTAATTTGGGGCCGTTACAGTTGCCAATACTTTTGATGACAAGCCTTCAGCGACTAATTGGGGTGACTAGAAATTTTAGTTTCTGTTGACAATCGGAGTCTAAAAACGAGGCTTTGGTGGCTAATTTTTTAGTGGCCAAAAATGTGTTTGCTTGTAGTGAAAGTTTTTATTTTCCATGACTAATGTGATTTAATTGCAAAAATGTTGTGTTTTGCAACTAATTTGAAATATTGGTTGCGAAAACTAGAAGCGAGAATGTGAAGAAAAAGGCATCCAAAAAAACTTTTAGCAACTAATGAATTTTGGTCGTAAATATCAAAATGACGTTATTTTGATGGTTAGCATAGCTATTGTATTATGTTGCAAGCAAAACTTGTAGTACGGGAAAAAAATTCAAACCTTTCTGAAATTTTACAAATTCACGACCAAGTGATTGGTCAGAAAAACAGTTAATACTTTAGACTTTTGGTTTTGACTTTTTGGCTAAAAAAAACACAGAAGACAAAAGGGGGTTTTTTTTTAGGGTCCCTGGTATTAAGACTTTATAGTATAAAGGACATCTAATATTTTCATAATGTCTAAGGTCCCTCAATTTGATCTAGAGAAATTCTGCTCCAGAGAAATTCTGGTCCAGAGAAATTTCAACCCAGAGAAATTTCCATCAAGAGAAATTTCAAACCAGAGAAATTTTAAATTTCTCTGGTTTGTTCAATTTTTCTTTGTTTTCTATGTTTTGAAAATGTCACATCCAATTCCCAAAATGGTGCAAATCAGAGTATTTTCTGGTGATTTTAGGTACATCATACATGAAATCCACATGCAATTGTTAAACTAAAGTTGGTACACACCATAAGGCTACAACTGGATCAAATTCCTGAAGAAGTAAGTACCAAGAAGAAACCAACCTACTAGAAGGAAGGTGAAGAAGGCCAAGAACGTTATGAAAGTCCATCATCCGAAGGTGATTCCCAGACCAAATATGATGACAAATGGTAAGTAAAATTGGATCATTGATGCTTTGTTGACCTACCGTCCCTTGAGAAAAATCAAAGCTGCGAGGTTCACTACGTTATACCCACCAGAGAAATTTCTCTCCAGAGAAATTTTCATTCAGAATTTCTCTGGATTCTCTGTGTTTTAACCAAATTTCTCTGGACTTCGAAATTTCTCTCCAGAGAAATTTTGAATTTCTCTGGATTCTTTGTGTTTTGACCAATTTTCTCTGCACTTCAGAATTTCTCTCTAGAGAAATTTTGCTCCATATAAATTCAGCCCAGGCATGTCCATTTCCATTTCCTAGTAGACCAAAACCACACCCCAAAATGAGAATTTGATCCTTCTGTTGGGTTTGGGGAGGGGTTGGTACTTGGACTCCTCAACACAATAAAATGAGAGTTCACCACTGCATTTGTCTTATTTTTATTTTATTTCTAATCATGCTTTATATGATATGTTTTCTCTTGGCAAAAAATGACTTGTTATGTATGAAATTATGAACTATCTGAATACTTATAATTATCTCTTGTACTTTCATCTTTTTTTTAGACTTCTACAATACTTTTACTTTATGATAGTTTGTATACTTGATTAATTCTCACCCATTTGTTTCCCAGATTATTCACAACAAATTCTGTCATAACTTTAGTAAAACTATTATCCGTTCTGTAGGTGCCTTGACAAAGCTACGGTAATTACAGACATTAAGAACAAAAATGGGGACTTACAAAAACAACCCAGAAAATGACTCTAAAGTACGAATCAATAGCTCATCAAGCATAACATCGCTGCTTCTGCTTCGTGTATTTGAATGAATTTCTCTGGTTTGGACTAGAGAAATTCTCTGGTTTGAACTGAATTTTCTCTGGGTTAGTCCAGAGAAATTCTTTGGTTTATACTGAATTTTCTCTGGGATGGTCCAGAGAAATTCTCTGGTTTGAACTAAATTTTCTCTGGGTTTATTTGAATTTTCTTTGGGTTTATTTGAATTTTCTCTAGGTTGGTCCAGAGAAATTCTCTGGTTTGGACTAAAAATATTGATTCGCATGTTTCCAATTTGGGCTACTGGAATCATCATATGTGCTGTTTATGCACAATTTGGTACATTGTTTGTTGAGCAAGGGATGATGATGGACAGGACCATTGGTTCCTTCTCCATTCCTGCAGCCTCTCTTTCAGCATGTGACATCATAAGCGTTATTTTCTAGGTCCCCGTTTATGATAGGGTCATCGTCCCTATTGCAAGGAAGTTTACTGGCAGAGAGAAAGGCTTTACAGAGTTACAACGTATGGGAATTGGCCTCTTTATTTCAGTACTATGTATGGTATCTGCTGCTTTGGTGGAGATGAAGAGATTGGCACTTGCACAAGCCCTTGGTTTGGTTGATGAAAATGTTCCAATGCCACTTAGTATCACGTGGCAAATACCCCAATATTTTTTGTTTGGTGCTGCAGAAGTATTTACATTCATCGGGCAGCTTGAGTTCTTTTACGTGCAGTCACTGAATGACATGTGTAGCTTGTTTGCTGCGTTGTCCCTTTTGACGACTTCCATGGGAAGCTACTTGAGCTCTTTTATTCTTACTGTGGTGACATCTCGATCAACGGAGACTGGGAGGAGGACGATGGCGAAAGGGTGGGATTTGGGGGTAGGGGAAGATCTTGAAGCTTTTGTTCATTTGGTTGTAGCACACACACACACACAGAGAGAGAGAGAGAGATAGAGAGGAATCGTGGGCAAAGACTCAAATTTCTCTAATATATGTTTAGGGACCTTAGACATCAAAAAATAATTTTGTGGATCTCTTCCATTACGAAAAGTGGGGGAGGGACCCTAGACTAATTTTCCCAAGACAAAATTGGCTACATAAGTCAATAAAACAAAATGCCACATCCAAACCACAATCATTACATTTTTTCTCTCACAAAAGTCAAAAAAAAAAATCAAAAACAAAACCAAACGATGCTAAAAAAGCCAAAAAGCCAGCCTATTTTAGCTCTTCCCAGACAAAGACTAAATTTGTTAATTGATGTTTCACTACTTACCAATGTTTTAAAAATCAAACCGGTAAGAGAACCAAAAAACGAATTGGATGGAGGAGTCACTAGGTCAACCATCTGGTCGAAGCTGAATCAAACCGTAATGTCATAATTATTTTATTAATATATTAAATCATTTTTAATAATAATATAAGAATTAAGATACATTTATTTAAATAATTTTTTAATTTTAAGATAAATTTATAATTACATAAACATATTTATAATTATTTGTAAAATATATTAATTATATGTAATGTTTAAAAGAAAATGTAATATAGATGTATATTTACCAAATATAAACAAAAGTTGAATGTGACATGGTAATTATTTGTCATACTACTTCCATGTAGTTCTGTATTCAACTCTTCTAAGCAACATAGCTTCACAAATTTTCTTGTCATTTGGCAAAATAGGAGCCCAGTCGATTTAGTTGAAAGGTACTCGGACCGGACCAACCTTAGATTGATCAACGTCTTAACCAGTTGAATCGACCAATCCAGTCTGATTTTCAAAACATTGTTACTTACACTTAGCAACCAAAATGTTAGTCAGTGAATTCATATAATTGCCGATTAAAGTTTTAGTCGCAAAAACAATACTTTTTGGCAACTAACGTTTTTGGTCGAGGAAACAGTACTTTTGACGATTAACTTTTTTAGTAACTAAATGGATTAGTCACGGTAGTTATGTGTTCAACGACCAACGTTTAGTAGCAAAATACTTATTTTTGCCGACTAATAATTTTTTTAGTCGCAAATTACTTTCCGAGACCATGTATTAACGATCAAATGGCAATCAAAATTTTTTATCGCAAAATATTTTTATTGACAAGACTTTGTTTAGGAACAGACTATTTTAATAACTTTTTGGCTAAAATATGAAGCAAAAAAAATTAGTATGTTTGGAATGAATTTTTGATTTTTTACGAAAAGATGTACAAAAAGTAGAAAGAAAAGAAAATCGTTGACTTTGTGGTATAGGTTATAGACTTTTTGATTTTTTTAGTAACTTTTTTATTTTTAAATTAAAACAGACAGTTCTCAAACGAGGCCTAAAAATGATTTTTTTTTAAATAAAATTTTAATCAGCAAAAATGTGATTTACTGTAGTGCTCTTTCTAAACAACCACCCTAGTCAATGATATTTCATTAAAGTATTTTAGCTGGCTCGATACTTGGTTCATCGGGGCATTTCCCTAAATAAGCCAAAATTCTAATTCAATTCCCAAACTAAGCCTAGTTTTGAAAGAATTCCCAAAATAGGCTAAAATGTGGTTCACAACCACGCTTTCAACGTGTGTGCGCCTGTCTCCCGTGAAAATTGGGAAGTCTTAAAAGCGTGGTTACAAAACGCGCTTTTGATTAAGAAAGCGCAGTTACAAAAGGCGCTTTTAATTAATTTTTTTTTCTTCTGAAATCGCTGTTCTGAACCACGCTTTTATCCAACAAAATTTTTCGTCTGAAATCATTGTTCTGAACCACACTTTTACAAAAAAAAAAAATCTTCTGAAATCGCTGTTCTGAACCACGTTTTATGGAAAAAATAAATTTCATTCAGTGAAATCGTGGTTCACAACCACGCTTTTAAAACTTATATATAATCTCCCCAGCCCCGTGTTTTGCATTCACACTTGTTACAGTTTCACTCTCTCGCTCTTACTACTCTCTCTCTCTCGCTCTTACTGCTCTCTCTCTCTCTGTCTCTGTGCTCGAGCTCCCTCTGCTTCTCAATACTGTCAGTACCTCTCTCTCGTTGGTATGGCTTCTGTGATCTACTTTAATGCGTTTTTTGTGTTTGTGAAAATATGAATAAATTAGGGTTAGGGTTCATGAATGTGGGTATAATGTTGGTAGAATAGGGTTCATGAATGTGAAAATGTTGTGAAATCAGAAATAATAAATTAGGGTTAGGGTTTATATTTGTGAAATCTGTTTAGAAATCTGTTGAATGTGAAATCTTAAATCTTAAATTAGGGTTAGGGTTAGGGTTAGGGTTTATATTTGTGAAATCTATTTAGAAATCAGTTGAATGTGAATGTTGAATGGTTTATATTTATCTTAAATCTGTTTATAATTGTGAAATCTGTTGAATGTGAATGTTGAATGGTTTATATTTATCTTAAATCTGTTTATAATTGTGAAATCTGTTGAATGTGAAATCAGATTTCTTAAATAAGGGTTAGGGTTAGGGTTTATATTTGTGAAATCTGTATAAACTTTAAAGTGTCTTATTTTGAGCTCCTCTTGAAGTTTAATTAAGG